CTTCAGATCGAGTACTATTAATGGCCAATGCTTTGGGATCATAGTAGGAACCGGGAGTCCAGGTTGTAATGCCCCCATGGGTTGCATCTGCTGATTAACAGCCCGTAAATCATGCAACAACTGGTATTTCCCCGATTTTTTCTTTATCACGAATACTGGCGTATTCCATGGGGAGGTTGATGGTTGCAAATGGCCTGCCTCTAATTGTTGTAACACTATATCATTTACCGCAGCCAACTTTTCCTGGGTAAGGGGCCACTGTGGTATCCACTTTGGCTTGTTGTCCAGCCATGACAATGGTAGCGGCTGCATCTCAGTGGCCCCCACGAAAAACCCGTGTCCTGTCTTTTAAAATCGCCTTTGGGCTGGGCTAGGTCCCTTCTGCCTTCTCTGGAGCCTAATCCTCTCTCCTGATATCCCTTTTTATACATAATACGCCGTCCTGTAGAACTCTCCAATTGGTCCTCATTTGTTAATGTCAGTCCCAATTGTTCTAAAATGTCTCTTCCCCATAATGTGATGGGGAGTGCACTAACATAAGGTTGCACATTTCCCTTGTTCCCTTCTTGATCCTGCCAATGAAGCACCTGAGCACTTCTTGATGGTGTCATGGCCGCACCTAGGCCTACTAAAGTATTATCTCCTGGCTGAAGGGGCCATGACTTCGGCCAATCATTTTCTGAAATTATACTTACATCTGCACCTGTATCTAGCAGGCCCTGAATCGACTTTCCTCTAATGGTTAAGGTCCACAGAGGTCGATCTGCTAAAGATAGGGACAAGGCTGTAAATTTCTCCCCTTGGGGTCCATGAACATCCTGCGCTCCAATCATGATCAGCATTTGAGCCACAGGTTCTTCTGGCTTGATTTGAATAATACCCTTTGTAGATTGTATTAGCACTTTTAACTTATCAAAAGGTAATTGAATGACTCCGGTAATGACCATTAGGCCTCTTAAAGCATTTGTTTCTTTTCCTATGATTATTCCAAGTCCCTTATGCTCCGCTGAAATTGTTTCTGCCCTCACCTCTATGGCTTGTGGCCCCATTTGAGGTGTTAGTACCGAATATTCGGTGGCTCGTAACTCTGCGCAGTAAATATTTGGTTTTTGTATTGTTGGGACCGTGGCACCCACCAATTGTTTTGGCCCCAGGGTGCAGGGGCCCACATTCCGTTTTTTTGCTGTTGTCCATATACACCTGATCTTCTTATGGGGCCCGGCTCATTTGGCATCCTCAGGGGATTGCCTGCGCTATTCATTTTAAAGTAACATTCACTGACCCAATGATTCCCTCTTCTACAGCGTGGGCAAAGGCCTGGTCTTCTCGAGTTCTCTATGCCCTGCCGATCTCGGGCTGGAAATTTCACCCTACATTCCCTCATTAGATGCCCTTCTCAACCACATCTAAAGCATATTCGTCCCCTCATGTTCTGTCTAAATTGTCGGGTTACAGCTACTGCAGCATGTGATCCAGAAGCTACATCATCCATGACATCCCTACAGATTTTCAAAAAGGTAGGGATGTCTTTATGCTGCCATGGTCTAAGAGCTTCACGACATGTTTTATTGGCCTGTTCATACGCCAATCTTCTGACTAAGGGCATTGCTTCTTCCACAGTTTCAAAAATGTTTCCTGCTGCTTCCATTAATCTGTTCACGAAGTCAGCGTAAGGTTCAGTAGGGCCCTGTACTATCTTAGTTAGGCTGTGTCTTATTTCTCCTTTTCTGGGTATCACCTTCCAGGCTCTTCTTGCTATCTCTCTCACTTGTAAGAGGACAGCTGTTGGTAATCGGGCCTGCTCATCAGGATTGGCAAATCGCCCTTCTCCATTTAACATTTCCTCATCCCATGCTTGATTCCCTGCTTGATAGTTCTGCTTTGAATATTCTCGCGCGAATTCTTTATAAGCAGCTAACCATAAGAGGAAGTCACCCCCACCCAACACCGCCTTTACTAAGTTTCTCCAATCCTCGGGTATTAGGCCTTGCTGCCCAATGTTATCAAGGATTGCCTGAGTGTAACTTGCATGGGGCCCATACAATTGTACTGATTGTTGCAACTCTTTAAGTAATTTATGGTCAAGAGGTGTCCAACCCCTGTTTTCCTGTTGATCCTGAATTACAGGAAACACCTGGCCTGGTTCCTGGTACTGCTCCCAAGCAGGTTTTCTATAAACAGCTCCCCTTTGCTTGCTTTCGGTTCTCGGCCTTTCTATCTCCTCCTGCATACCTACTCCCTCCATCACTCCTTTTTCCTCCTCCCACTCTTCTTCAATCTCATGTGGAAAAAAGGGGCTTTTCTTTACAGGAGGAAACTTTGGTAGTACTAATGGGCGATACCGGGGTGGTGATTCATCCTTTATGGTTGAATTTGCCAGCCTTGTAGGGCCAGGATATATTCTTGGCATCTCTCTCGGGGGCGAGGTTCCCTCTTCAGCTTCCTTCTCCCCCACGTAAGCTTCCTGGCTCTCTAAATCCTTCTTTGATTTTCTTCTCACCTGTTCATTACAATAGCTGCTCTCCTGGCTGCCCTGCCATAATTCTTCCTGCAATTCACTCCCCTCATTAAGCAACAACTCGATCCCTTCCGTGGGGTCCTGAAGCACCTGATCAACGAGTTGCCACAGCTTCAGCACTTCTATCGATTCCCCAGCCTCGCGTAATTTCCATCCCACCTGCCTCCACTGCTGTAGAAACCAGGGGGACATCTCCACGACTGCTCTTACGAAAGCATGAATTTTCCTCCCCCCTCGTTTCCCTCGCTTAGAAGAAAAGCTGCGAGGAGGTGGGGAGTAGGAAGAGAGAGAAACCACATTCAGCCCACAATGGATGATCTTTAGGGAGAAATAGAGAATGGTGCCTAGCAGGAGGAAGAGGTAGCCAGTGGGCAAAGAGTAGCCAAAGAACTCCATTGTCTGTACCGTCTGTGACATGTTGGAGCGGTGGGCGTAATGGAAGACTGAGTCTCCCAGACGTTCCCAGTTAATACCTCTTTCCTAGCTTCTAATTTTCTTCCCCCACGGCTTTTTTCCTGGGTTCTAACTAGCTTTTCACCGGCACTCTTTCCGTCTGGCCTTCCCCTAGGCTCTTTGCTAGTCTCTCTCTCCGGTAATTTCCCACTTCTTCCCGTTTTTTCCCTCCTAGGTTTCCTATCTGAGTCACGGCACCATTTGCTGCTCCTCCGCATGCGGAGGAGCCACACCGGACCGGACGCTTGTTGTTCCCTTTTTTAACAAGTCCTTTCTATAGTAAAGTAAGAATAAGTAAACAGCAAACTCCCAAAGCAAGAATGAGTAGAGAGAAGTGAGAAAGAATGAAGTAACGAACTTCCCCGCGAACTCTCCAACGCACTCTCCAACCAACCCACACCACCATGCCATCTCTCTCCTCCTATATAGTCCTCTCCACCAATCCGTGCTCTGCTACTCACATGCTGAGCCCGCCGCTCTCCTCCAATCAGGAGCGGCTCTTGCAGCTTATCAAGTTGGTAAGGGGCAGCTGGGTAGAAGCTGTACGCTCCTCTCCCAGCGCCACATTGTGGGAGAGCAGATGCATAGAATAAGTCTTAATTCCAGTAACAGTATAGTCCGAGTTGCTCCCCACAGCTTTCCATACCTAAAATACTCTCATGGGCTCTTCAGCCAGATCTGAGTGCCTTAAGGGCTGATTCTGAGGCCAGAGTGCTGTTTAGGACATCTGCTATTCTACGAGACTGCTGTGTATCGCACTTCCCATGCTACCTATATTTTATATAGTCTAAGTATTGTATAAACTAAAATATACAACACTAGGAGTATGCTATCAGTAATTACACTACCAATCTCAGTGATTATAAATAAGAATGTTAGCAACTATACTGATTCTGAACAGTGATTCAATGTTTCTGTTACTGCCTTTTCTAGTTGTTATTGTACAATGCTGTAGATAATGCAGCCCATGCAATACACCCAAGAACACTAGAGTCCTACACCCAAGTACAATTAATATGATAAAGCAGCCCTCTGCAAGTGGTGCTGGATACCACTAAGAAGTCTATTGCAGCCATGTTGGTTATGATTTTCCATGCAGAAGGGTACAGTTACATTAAGAACTGAAGTCTTTAAAAAGCTTTAAACATTCTTTCTTGAACCAAAACATTCAACAAAAGATGCACATGAAAATTAACTGCTCAGATACCTTTGCAACTTAAAAAAATTCAGATGCATGTTACTCAATAGAGCTGCTGTATGTGAAAACCAAACAGGTTTAATTCTTCTTGTAATTAAATTAATCCTACTGCAGTTCAGTGCTACACATTTTTAGCAATGAGAAGAATGCAGACATCTTCTAGTGCGAGCCAGCACGATAAGCTTCAAAGAGTATCTCAAGACCCTGCTATTGGCTGATGTTTTACTTGTAAGCACTTGCGATGTTTACCTTTTACAGAATGTCTTATTTGACAGCTTTTAGAAGACCAATTTAACCGGGCTTACATATGGCACCAAATACAGGTTTCACAGAAAGCAAAGTCTGATCCTCTTGTTTTCTTCCTGCTTCCAAAGAACATGTGGAAATTAAGAGGGTGAAGTAGAACTATGGTAGAAGTAGACTGCCAGTCCTTTTCTGGTGTACCATTTTTTAAAAATACAGGCACATAACACTAGCCAAAGACTATACCTTGATTACATTCCCAAAAGGCAGATATGCTGCAAACATGCAGAGATTTTGTTAATGTTGTTTGGCACACGGGAACTAAATTTTGTCCCTATTATCTGTGTGTATCATTTTGCTGTGTAGATTTTCATCCAATTCTATTCAAGGGAGGGCATATACATTTGTAGGGCTGTATCTATCCAATTCTGCCTGCAACAAACACCCAAACATCCTAAAATATTAATTATAAGACAGACAAGTGTAAAGTAAAACTCTGGAGAACATCAAAGAAAAATGGCCATGCATCTGCTCTTTAATGTTTTCCTACGATATATTAAAATAAAACAAAGTTTCAGTCTTCACAAGTAGTAATTTATATTCTCTGGATTTTTTCAGCCACAACAACTGGATTCTCTTTCCTGATTTTTGCTGCAGCTTCTGCTTTATAATCATAAGGACAGTTGTGCTTGTCAGAATAACGGTGAAGTCCACAAAACAAATTTCCACATCGGCAGTCAAACCCTGTAAGGCCAACTTTCTTTCTACACATGAAACATCTGTTCTTCTTTGGTTTGGGTAACTCAGGAGCTTTTTCTTCACTTTGAGAAGTACTGGGCTGAGAAACTGATGGACTGGGCTGAGTGACAACTGGCTCTGACACCTCTGTTTTCGGGGTAGTTATTTTGTCCTCTTGAAATGCTCATTTCTGTCATTTGCTGAGTTACAGGCAAGGCAGCCACAGGCACATTTCTTGATTTTTCAGATGTGCTACCAGCAGCACTTTCACAGTTGTTTAAGCTAGCGTCTGCTCTTTGTACAGATGCAGAGTCTGAGGTAGGACTGTTGGAACCACTAGCTGTCCCCATTGGGCTCATTCTGCCACTATTCTGCTGTCTCTGAAGATGCTCTTTGTAGCAAACAGAACACATTCCATTTGTCCTAGGATTCCCATAAAAGCCACATCCTGTGCTACACAGCATAGGCCCTGGAGTCTGGTTAGTCTCCTGAGCCATATTTCCTGCTTGCGGGGGGTCCGAACGCAGCAGCCGGGCTCGCGCGCGACGCCGGCGCGGGGAGGCCGGGTCGAGGCCGCCGGGAAAGGGAGCCTTCCGGGTTGCTCTGGAGCCGCCGCCGCCGCAGGCCGGGAGCGGGTTGGAGCCGCAGGCGGAGGTGGCGCCGCCGCCGCCGCCGCGGGATCCTCCTTTGTTCCTGCAGCAGCGCCGAGCGTGGCCGGGACACGCCGGAGCTCGGGATTAAATTTAAAAATGCCCATGAACTTGAATGTTTCTGTGTAGCTCCTAATAGAACTACAAGCCTTAGAAGTTCTATGCTGTTTAACATTTCATCTTCAGTGCCAACTTGATTATTACACTGCCAGTTTATAAAACACTTCACAGTCATGTGAACCTTACCATAAGATAGGACTGTGTAGAATAAATCCTTTAACTACAAAGACAATCTTATCTCACAAGGGAGGAAGATCCAGAGGGGTCAAATGACTTGCTAATGTCACTTAGCTCTGTTGGCACAGAAACAAGGAAAGCTCTCAGCTTCCTGCCACCTCCCCTTACACCACCTGCCTCAACTAGACGAGCCTGTAATTTTAAGGATGCTCAGGTCCCATGAGTTTAAATGAATTTTTCAAGGTTACATGACAAGTACCAAAGCCAGAAGCAAAAATTATTGCTTCCATCTTTCTCTTCCTTGTCCACAATGGAAGTTTGATGTACACTTATGCATTATTCAAATATCATTTACAACCAAGAAGCATTATTTTTCCCCAAAAATAACAATGACACTACTTTTTCCATTGAGGAAGTTATTTTAATGGATGATGCAAACATACTTGTTTTGTTTTTTACTTTGAGATGCAAAGAAATGAACAAGTAGACAGAGAAGTGGTATTCACCCTCTAGTTAACTGCTGAAATGTCCACAGCGGTCAGGGCTGGCCCAGGAGCAGGGAACCTAATCATCTGAACCATCACTTGCTAGCTACCAGGGTCTACATTATCTGAAAGTTGGAGTCAGGGGCTGGAACCGGGAATCAAACCCAAAAACTCCAATGTGGGACACAGACATCTGAACCATAAGGCTGCACCCTGGCTTCCAGACTTGTTTTTTCACCAGTCCTCTGAAAAGGAAAGTTAATTACAACCTGAAATCCAAGACTCTGGAGTCCTCAGGTGTGTGTGTCTATGCATGAGAGTTAGTTGGGTAGATCAAGAGTCTGCAGTTTAGAGAGAACAGAAGAGTGAAACATGTGTCAGAGGATGTCAGCATTGGAGAGGTGGCTGTGCTCTAGTCAGAGGCTGAGGAGGACAAGTCCACAGAGAGCAGCAGCACCAAGGGAGAATGCTATACTAGCAAGTAAGGAGAAAAAATGTTGAAAAATAAATATGTGAAAAGGATTTATTTATCTGGAAGATGGAGTTATAAAGAAGGAGAGACAGGGAGGGGGAGAGAGAGATCTTCCATCTGCAGGTCAACCCACCAAATGGACACAATGTCTGGGACTGGGTCAGATCAAAGCCAGGATCTGGAACTCCACCCAAGTCTCCCTCATGGGTGGCAGGGACTCAAGAACTTGGGTTGTCTGCTGCTTTCTCAGATGCATTGCCAGAGAGCTGGATGGGAAGTACAGCAGCTGAGACACAAACAGTGGCCATATGGGATGCCAGCATCAGTGGCAACAGATTATCCTAATGCATCACAACACTGGCTCCAACAAATGAACTTAGGTAAACAAGTCCAAATGCCAGGGAAACATCAGATAAAATGCCAAGGATGAGCATTGTGGTGCAGCAGGGTAAACCACTACTTAGGAGGCATACCTCATTCTTAAGTATGAGGATGTCTTTTAACCACTTTTGTACAAGAGAGTACAAGCCAGAACACCATAGCATCTTCCAGATTCGGCACTGCCTGTTCTCAGGGGGCCCCCCACAAACTCCTGTGCTTCCCCTGGGCAGTTTGTTTTGGCTGAAGCCAGCCAGAACCCTGGGGTCATTGGAGTAGGAAATGGGATTAAAGGATTTCATGCTGCAAAACTGCTCCAAGCCAGTTTTTTCACTGAGAGACAGAGACCCAGAATGACCTCCCCGGAGCTCACAAGACCATGCCTGGACACCTGCCAGGGAAAAAGTTGGAAAAAAAAAATCCAGATTCTGGAATCTTCTGGAACATTCTAGAATATTCTAGAATTTTCCCAGAATGTCCTAGAGATTTTGTAGGATGTTCCAGAATGTTCCAAAATGCCACCTAGTTATCCTAGGGGGATTCTGGGATGCAGGTCTGAGTGGAAATTCCCCAGCCAGGTGCAGCGGGTGTCCTGGTGCTGTGCCCAGCCCGGCTGACATTTACACAGCGCACATAGCCTAAGCACCTGCACACATGGGAGGGGAGTCAAGGGGGTGTGGCCACTCCAGGACATCCTGTGCTGATCTCTGGGGGCCGTAGTAATTTCCAGCCCATCAGAAGAGGTTCTCGGCCCCCCAAGATGGTCACCGGGCAATCTGGAATGTTCTAGGACATTCTACAAAAATCTAGAAATACTGAGAACATTCTAAAAAATTCCAGGACCCCCAAAGACTTTCACTGCATGTTCTGGGAACATTCTAGAAAATTCTGAGAATATTCACCATTGTTTCTAGAACATTTCTAAAACCCCAATGATGCCTACCTGGTGTTCAGGAAAAATTCCAAGAACATTCTGGAAACATTCTGGAAAAATTTCTGAGAGCATTCTTGAAAATTCTGAGTGTATTCTAGAACGTTTTAGTAAATTCTATGACCCCCGAAGACACTCAGCAGGTATTCTAGAAAAAGTTCTAAGAACATTCTAGAAAGTTCTAAAAAAAACTCCATAAAATTCTAGAATATTCTAAGACCTGAGAAACACTCGCCTAGTGTCCTTGAAACATTCTAGAAAATTCTGGAAAATCCCTAGCCCCAGAGAATCCATAATGGAAGCTCATGGAAGCTCCTGGAACATTCTGGAATGCCCCGGGACCTCATCCCATCCCAGTGCCACCTGGATGTTTGCACAACCTCAGCCCTGCCCACTTCTCCCAAGCCCTGGCTATAAAGAGATGCCTGGTAGCAGCCGGTTCCAGACGACGAAAAGACGATGATGATGAAGGCTCTCATTCTTGCCCTTGTGGTGGGCGTGGCCTGTGCCCAGGTATCAATTACTCGCATCATTTGTGCAATGTTCCATAATGTCCTAGAATGTTCCAGAATGTTCCAGATGATTGCAATAGACTCTCTAGCAGGCCCTACGGGAGCAACTGGAATGTTCCAGAATATTCCAGGATGTTCTAGAACACATCCAGACAATTCCACAATGTTCTAGAATGTTCCAGAATCTTTCCAATTTTGTTTCTAACAATTCTAGGATGTTCTGGAATGTTCTAGAATCTCTCCCCCAGAATATTACAGAACATTCTGGAATGTTACAGACAGTCCCAGTAGACTCTAGCAGGCCCTAGGGAAGCATCCAGAGTGTTCCAGAAAAATTCCATAATGTTCTAGAATGTTCCAGAATGTTCTAGAAAATGCCTCTGGAACGTCCCAGCATGCCCCAGGATGTCCCAGCATGCTCCACAATGCCCTGAAACATTCCACCATGTTCCAGCATGCCCTGGCACACCCTGAATGCCCACCTCTCCCCCTGAAGTTGAAGGCCAGAACTACTTCAAGTTCCTGGTGCAGGAGAATGGCCACATCTTCTTTCTCAATCAGAATGTGGGCACCGATGGCACTGCCACCTGCGTCACCCTTACTGCTGGTGAGCCCCCTGCACACACATGTGGATACAGCCAGCACCTGCTAGAAAGAGAGTCTGACCCTGACTGTATACACAGACCCTGAGTGTATGCAACCAGTCCAGAGCTTGACCCTGACTGTATACATGGATCCTGAGTGTATACAGTCGGCTCCTACTAGGGACACACATTGCAACCTGAAAGCCTGACCCTGCTGTATACAGTTAGCACCCACTAGAGAGAGATACATTCTGACCGTGACCGTATACAATCAGTGCCTACTATGCAGAATAACTTTGACCCTGGTGCATCCTAGAGGGGCTTGGCCAGCTGTATACTGGTGGCACACACTAGAGAGAGAGCCTGACCCTGGCTGTGTTCAGGCAGCACCTACTAAATACAAGATCCTCAACCCCAGCACACCCTAGAGGGGGGCTCGGCCAGCTGTATACAGTCAGTGCATACTAAGTAGATCCCATCCTGTCCGGGGTGGGCTTGGCTGACTGTATACAGTCAGCACCCACTAGATGGGGCAAGCACATACAGTCAGCACCTACTAGATATCTGGGGCAGGTTTTGCTGAATGTATACAGTCAGTGCTTACTGAACAGAACCATCCCAGCCCCATCCTATCCTGGGTGATTTTGGTTGACTGTATACAGTCAGCACACACTAGAAGGAGCCATCCTGACTGTGACTGTATACAGTTGGTGCAGACCCAGTGGTAGTTAGTGGGCACCCTCTAGACAGAGGCACCCTCGGTGTACACAGCACGGAGCCCATGCTGCCTGAGGTGCGTCTGGCTGGCTGTATACAGTCAGCGCCCACTAGACAGGGCAAGTGTATACAGCTGGCGCCACCCACAGCCCAGGACCAGGAGCTGAGCGATAAGCACCTGGCACAGTTCTTGGTGTTAATGAAGGAGAACGGGATCCCCGGGAGAACATGGAGTGTGTGGCCAGCATGGGTGAGCTGGGGGTGTGGCCAGTGTGGAGGGTTCATGGCCAGGATGGGCATGGCTGTCACGAGTGAGCCAGGGGTGTGGCCAGGGTGGAGGCATGGCTGTGAGCTGGGGGCATGGCTGACATGGATGAGAATCAGGTGTGGTCTGGGTGGAGGGGAATGAACTGGTGGGTGTGGCCTGGGTGGAACATTCCAGGGGGTTCCAGAAAAATCTAGAAAACTCTAGAACGTTCCATGGAGCCACCAGGCCATCCCATGCTGACTCAGCCAATTTCTCCTCCCTGACAGACACCTGTCCCCAGTGATGATGCTGACGCCCAGGTGAGCAGTGTGGTGCCAGCCAGTCCTCACACCTTCCCAGGGGAACATTCTAGAGTGTTTCCGAAATATCCCAGAATGTTCTAGATGTTCAGGCAACAGGAATATTCTGGAACATTCCAGAGCATTCTGCGACATTTCCAGAATGCTCCACATTTTTTTTCTCCTCCCCAACAGGTAAAAAGCCAACGTCTCCCTGCCC